CAATTAAAAATGAAACCCAAAACATTTAATGCTCTTAAGTCTTTCATTGTACTGTCATGACAATGTGTTGTGGCAGTTTCCTCTTGGATGCATCTTCCTCTGGAAAAGTAGGGAACTGTACAACTGATATCAGAGAAATTATTTCCCTTAATATCTGTGCAGCTGTGCCTACATGTGCCTGTTGAAAGTTGTGCTTTTTAAGTTGATCTGTCATACGGACCTGATGGCAAAAACGTGTTGCTGATGAGAGTTTATTTGCTCACTGTCCATTAATGAGTGCAGTTTAAGTGAAGCGCCTGGGCTGAACGTGCTGTGATAAGCTTTCACGAGTGTCCACGGTCATCAGTGCTTCTCTGGGCTGCTGTCAAGCTGCCTGGATGCATTTACTGCAGATTACTCGTGTCGTCTTCAGGTGCTGTTCAGGAGATTCCAAATCCAGTCTTACCTAGATGCTGGCAACCCACCACGAATCTGTGTGAGCTTGATTGAAGAAGGTGAGAGGATGACCCTGAAAGCAGTTCAGCTGTTTCTTGCTTAGAGTTGAACTAGTAAGATAATGTCACCCAAGAGGCATTCTTGCATGAGAGATTGGATTATTTGATGCATTTCTTTTGAAGTCTGGTGTGTGGGGATGAGCTGCACAGCTTCTGGGCTGTGCTGCTGAGAGTACCCCATGCTCAAAGCATGTTGGGTAGACGCAGGCACTAATTGGGAACTAGCGGCTCCTCATTTAAAGGAGGCTGGGAGAGGATCGGCATGAGGGAAGGTGTTTGTGCACATGGTGAGGCTGTACCCTGAACGCTGTGTTCAGCTCTGGGCCTCTCACTACAAGAGAAATATTGAAGTGCTGAAGTGGGTCCACAGAAGGGCAACAAAGCTGGTGAAAGATCTGGAGCACAAGTCTGATGAGGAACAGCTGAAGGACCTGAGGGTATTTAGTTTGGAGAAGAGAAGGCTCAGGAAGGACCTTATCGGTCTCTACAGTTACCTAAAAGGAGGATGAAGGGAGGTGGGGTTTGGTCTCTTCTTCCAAGAAACAAATGACAGGATAAGAGGTGATGGCCTCAAGCTGCACCAGGGGACATTGAGACTGGATATTAGGAAAAAATTCTTCATTGAAAGGGTGATCAGACATTGGAACAGGCTGCCCAGGGAAATGGTGAAATCACCATTCCTGAAACTGTTAAAAACCACGCAGATGAGGCCCTTAGTGACATGGTTTAGTGGAGGACTTGGCAGTGCTAGGTTAATGGTTGGGCTTCATGATCTTAAAGGTCTTTTCCAACCTAGCTGATTCTATGATTCTATCTGGATGCAAGGACTGCACCAGGCTGGCAGTGTCCATGCCAGGACAAGCAGGAAAAAAACACATTGTCTTGCTTAGCATGCTCTATGGAACTGGTCAACTGTAGAGAAAAACCTCTCCTAGTCTGTCAGGCATGGGGTAGGCTCCTTGCTGTCTGCTAGAAGAGATGCAGTATGCTGCCCTCAAAGCCACCTGGAATGGGTTGCCTGGAGGACTCCCTGTCTGACTTGGGAGTTAAAGGAAAACATATCTGAGCTTCTAGTGCCATTTCTAGAAACCTGCTGATGCACAGCATTTGTCCTCAGGTTTCTCAGCCTCTAACCAGTCTGTGAAATGTCAGGAAGCTGGCTGGGGCTCCTATTTTTACAAATGGGGAAGAGAAAAAATCATTTGCTTCTAATATCTCCTTGCACGAGGAGTGGAAGATGGGCAGCAGCTTTTTGGCTGTGTTAGACCACCAGACCAGCCATAATCAGCATGTTTTATGTTTCTACATGGGCTCCTAGCCACCTGTATAATGTCCATCTGTTGAACTGGGAGTGATGCCTACCAACACTGCAGTCTAGATCATTGGAATAAGGCATGGATTTACAGGAGGTGATGGTCCTGAAGGACAGTTTGCAGCAGCATGACAAATGCTGTCCCTTCTGTATGAAGTCCTTCTCATGCACTGCTCCTGTGGCAGTACCATTCACTTCTCATTACTTCAAGGCACTTGGGAAAATTAATCTAGAAAAAATGTAAATGTATTGTGGCTATGATAGCACATGAGTATTCAGACCCAGGCCCTCTGTGAAGGCATCTGATCAATTTTGATGTATTAGGCTTAGAGATGCGCAGTGTTTTTCTGTGAACGGTATATTTGTTGAAAAATGCAGTTTTAGAATAACCACATCCATTTGCATTCTGAAGTTAAATTTGTTTAGTTCTAAGTGGGAAAGGACATGGTACAACCGGCTTCCAAGAGTGACAAGAGGACCCATCTCTGCCTTCCCCTCAGCCGAGGTGTGAAGACCCCATCACATCAAGCTGTGTGCTTGAATTCCTTTTATTGTGCAGAGAAGTCTGAAACTGCATCACCCACCTTTCAGTGGATGCTCCAGATTATGGGGAGGGCGGTAGTCCAAAAGCCTGATGTAGATCTTATTCTACCTTTTAAAAGAAATCAGGGTTATTAGAACAGGGTTTGGATGCTGAGGGTCTGAGCACCTGGGTGAATATTTGAAGTATTAAGCCAGGGTTTTTTTCCCTTTTATTCTCAGTGACTATGTTCTGATGGAATTGAAATATGCTTGATAGGACGGACCCAACTCCTGTACCTGAGTATCTAGCAAGTTGTCCTGCTTCCTCCTTTGAACGAGAGGATGTTAAATCCCGTTTTTTGGAATAGTTAGTTAAAAGTCTGATAGTAATGGATTGGCAGGGCCCATATGAGAAGGTACAGCCAGACAATGAATTTCTGCCAGGGCACCTTGGTCTTGGCTGGCCTTCTATTTTCATCTGTGTCTTGGCTACTTCTACAGAAAAGAATGCCAAATGCTGTAAGTTATGAAATTATTTTTATTGCTTTGTTTTCTGTGTTTAGGTTGAATTGATTTCTTGCTTGGAAGGCAGTGGCTTTGTCTACATTAGCAAATAGCATCATGTAGACAAAGCAGATCATCAGAGCAAAACAGTAATGAAGACTCAGGCAGATTTCATGGGTTTTGCTGTGGAACAGCTGTATTCTAATTCCATGTGAAGGAATTTTTGAAAGAAATTTATAAGAAATCAGGAGAGCAAATATTGCATGTTGAAAATGTCAACAAAATCTTTAAACTTATTAGGAATATTTTGAGTTCTCTGCTAAAACAAAGACTTCAAAGAACGAGGCACATATTTGTGAGACATTTCAAGGCTGTTGAAGCTGTGTATTTTTTTGCTGACAGTTGTTTAAGCTGAAAGTTTAGATGGTGCTTCTTGGGGTCATCTGGCATTCTACTTGAACCTGCGTATGTTGTTGTGTGTGTGATTCTTACTATTGTTTCAAAGAGCTCTATAAAATTGATCCCTTCATAACCATTTAAAAAAAGGTATTCTTATACGTATCTCTCTGCCTGCACCTCCTTTCTGCTGCCTGGCTATGAAATCCATTGTGACACATTTGCCTCAGCTGCAGAAAACAGAGAAAAGGTAATAACAAGGGCAAGACAGGCATTTGGGAGCTTAGAAAAAAATTAGGGAACACAGGCAGGAGAGCAACCCAGCTGCAGTGAAAAGACTGTGAGGCTTGTGCAGAAGTAACTTTTAATGCAGTAAACTTTGCCTGCATGCTGCAGGCTATAGATGCTGTCATGTGTTAGAGGTGGGGAGGGCTTACTGTGCTCTGAAGATTGTGTGGACTCTGGAAAGCAAGCAGATTGTCCAGGGTAAATCATAGTGACTTACTCATGCAAAGGTACCCTCCAATGCAGTCAACAGTAAGGGTTCCTGTCACTTAGCAAGTTTGTGTTTTAGATACTGTATTTTATTATGACTCTGGTTGATCTCCGTATCAGTTACATCCAATGATACATATTTGGGATACTTCAATATTTTACTGAAAAGTGATTTGTTTAGTGTCAGAAGTCAGGACAGGTCAAATGTCAGTGAAGGGTTTGGGGTGTGTGAATGACCTAGGATTTCCTGCCAGGTACCTCGTTCATCTCGGCATATCCAGAAGCATATGGCAAGCAAAGGTATCTTGACAGGATACTGGTTTTGTAATAGAATAAAAGTCTGTAAGTCTATATCCCCATCAGGATATATCCCCCCCAGGATAAAATAGATATCAGCAAGTTGTTATTGGCAATTTAAAAAAATGTAACCTGATATGGTTTTTATATCAAACAATGAGGAAACTATCATATTAGAGAAATAACCTGTACAAAGGTGTTGCCCTTCTCATAGCTGCCAACTAGTTTCCCCTTTAATTTGCATGCTACAAATACCAGCTGCTTCTAAACCTACTCAGTGTGTAAACTGTGACATCTTAAACACCACAGAATATTGTCTGGTGGCTGTTGCACTTTTCTTTGTGGTGCCACTTATCCTGAACAATTAATCAATTTCTGTCTTATTGTTTGTAACAAAGTAGGTTCTTTGAGAGTTCTCTCAGTTCCAGAATGAGGATTAACTACTATGGTAGTGCAACCTAAGTCACTATACAGACATAACAGAAACAATTCCTACAAGTGTTACAAGTTTTATAAGTCCAAAGTTTCTATTTAAATATTTCTTGGTATTGCTTGTTCAGCATGTAACTTGGATTATTTTCTTTTATTATGCTTTTAAGAAGGAAGAACAGGGTGGACTTTAAAATTCCTTTTCAAGGTTCCCGTGCCTGAAAGATATAAGTTGGTTTTTGAACAAAGGAAAAATGTCGCTAAACAGGATTGATTTTGAGGAACGTTTTCTGTGGTCAGTCAGGGTTTTTAAAAAGTATTAAATCAGAAATTTTTAGGGTTTGGAGTTATCAGGGTACTGGGTAGTTTTTAACTGTCTATTAAAGTTTATTGTCTGAGAAGAAGGGCAGTGTCAGTCAGAAGTTTATCTGGCTTTCCTCTGGGCTTGGAAAACGTGTGTTGTTAACTCTAAATATGGCTGTGGAGAGCAGCTTTTTGCAATGACTGGGAAAACTTCTGTGTGACCAAATTATTTTTCTCTTGTTTTACAGGTTTCAGAATCTGCTGTGGTCTCGAAAAGCATTTGTGGATAGTGTGAAGGTGTATAATCACAGCTACATCTACATGCCAGCGTTCTCAATGAAGACAGGGACGGGACCCTCCCTACGTGTCTATTACACCCTGAAGGACTTTGGTGCCAAGCAGGCGGTCCTTTTCGCCAACCCCAATTTCCTGCGGGACATTGGCAAGTTCTGGAAGAGCAAAGGTATCCATGCCAAACGTCTTTCCACGGGACTTTTCCTAGTCAGTGCCGCCCTTGGTCTGTGTGAAGAAGTAACAATTTATGGCTTCTGGCCATTCTCGGTGGACCTGCATGGGAAGTTTATTAGCCATCATTACTATGACAATGTCCTGCCTGATTCTGGATTCCATGCCATGCCAGAGGAATTTCTACAGCTCTGGTTTCTTCATAAAAGTGGTGTACTGAGAATGCAGCTAGAACCATGTGAGGACCCTTTATTCCAGTCTTCTGTCTGACGATTGTAGAGTGTGTCTGGGAGATCCAATAGTTTTTAATTTCAACTCTCTACAACAGAGTGTTCTGTTTTCTGTTGTTTCTTTTTAAAGGGAAAATAATTGTGCATCTGCATGGACCATAAAAATGTTACTTGAAGGCCAAATGGAATACATCCTTAATGTATAGCTTTATGGAACTGGGGTGGGGGGGAAGAGGATCTCTCCACCGAGTCCATTCAGCAGCATTGTGAAAATAATGTCAGAAGAAGCACAGCTGAACTTTCTGGGGGATGTTTTTAAATGACCAATGTAAAAAGGGCATTAAGGCTCGGAGAGACACAGGGCCACCCACAAGCTTTTACTGGCAGTGCCAAATATGACTGTGTGTTCAAAAATCCATTTCATTCCAGATTGGCACCTCATACAACTTTTTCCTTTTTTTTCCTTTCCCTCTGTTTGGGTGTGTTTGTGTGTAGGAGAGCATGTGTGTGTTGTTGACTTTGTTTGATCCTTTCCTTTTCTATTCCCCCCCACTCCTTTCCTTCCCCCCCCCCAGTGGAAGAAAAATGAAAGGCTTGAAAGACTCAGGAGCCAAGTACCATCAGCTCCTCTGAAGACTCTTGGGAGAGTCAACGGTGCTAAGAATCTGGTTAGAAGAATGTCCTAGGAATACCCTGCTACTGAGTATGGATAGACCTACCTATTATAGTTTTTATCAGGGTAGTTTAGGTCGTTGCACTTATGATAATGCTATATTGTGGGTAAGCGCTGGTTAAGGCAAATTGGTCTGAAAATTAAAAGTGTGTTAAAAAACCAGTAGTGAAGTTCAACCTGGTTTCAGTTGATCTGCTGCAAGATTTCAAAGATTTCCACAGTGACTTTGGTAGTAGGGGTGGTTCCTGACCTGTTTTGCTGTACAGCCTTAGGAATTAATTCTGTATTCATTTGGATTCCAGATGTTCATTGACTGTCAAGGGTATTTGAGGTGTTCAGTAGAATGCAGAATGAGGTTCTTCACTTGCTTATATGCAGAAAAACTGCAGAAATGAATGTCATTTTAAATGAGTTGAAGCTTTGAAAACCCTTTCTCTTTGTGTGACTAGCTCTTCTGCTTGGATTGTAACGTTAGCCTTAAAGACTTGTACTTTTCTCTCAAGACTGTCTCTGGTTAAAGGTAGTCTGAGAAATGAAACAGCCTTTGGGAGCACTGAAAAGCTGCATAGCCAGCAATTAAAAAGGGAAATGACAGGCCCTTACATAAGGCAGCCTCTCTCCTCGCAGCAGGTGAATTATGTCAGTGTGTGTGTTGCACGCACACTGCTCCAGCTAGTGCAGTGCCTGAAGGACTGTTTTATTCTGGGTTATTACTTAGGCAGCAGATGGTCCTATCGTCATGTAAGTGAGAAATATTTTTGTTTGTTTGCTTTGGTTTAGCACTGTAGGACAAGAAGAGAATCACAGCTCTGTCCACAGTGCAATTTCAGCTGCAGAATGTTACCATTAACTTTAAAAATCCAGATCAATTTTCTCTTTCTTATCCTTCCATCATTAGTAGCTGAAATTCTAGTCAAAGTGTTGAAACAACAAGACTGTCATCAGGTTTCCACAACAACTTCCTGTGCTGTTTTAGCTCCAAAGTGCTAGTATTTTGGGCTGTGTGTCCCATCATATGTTGACAACTCTTTGTAGACTACCAGCTGCAAGTTATATAGATATAATTAAAAAAAAAAAAAGAAAAAAAAAAGGCAAAATCCGTAGCTCTTCTTTGAATATGAATAATTCAACTATCTATCTAGGACACTGGGGGGAAAAATATAATGTTTTGCTTTTTAAACCTATTTTTCATAATAAAAATCTTCTTACTAAATATGGATATTCCAAGCATGAAATGGGCACTGTTCCATAGGCTTATAGGGCTAAGCTATAACATGGAGATTTGGACTAAATAGCATTCTAGATATTGTTCTCATAAAATCCAAATGTGCTTCTATAACCTATTTATCTTTGTTATTTTATTTAAAAGTACAGTCAACATGCTGATGGAATGTCACTTGTTAATTCGTTCCCTTTGTTATGTTTTATCTATTTTGTTGGTCCTAGATGAGGAAGGATTTGAAAGTAAAATATTTTCTGTGCTGCTTGCCATGGTAGAATTTTACTGAGCTGCCTTTCTTAGAGAAGAGGAGGTGCCTGTATGGTTTTTATCTTATGCATCGAGTTTTGTATTTTTTAGTGCTTTAGAAGTTATATTATCTGTGAGAACAACAGTTGAAATATGATGTGCTAAAATATTACTTCAGTAGGATGCCAGCATTTCCTTGGGGTGGGAGGGAATGAGGAGAGTAAGGGGGAACTGCCTCTTTGCTGGACATTTTTTTGTATTTTTACCAATACTTGGCTTTTTTTGACATGTCTTGGGAAATAATTGGATTAGAAGAACAAGAGAAAAACATGTATTTTTGTAGGAAAACTCTGTGCAGTGTTTCATAGCATCTGGCTTGTTCATCTTCAGCTGGTGCCCTGGGTATTTGAAGATGTATTCCCCACCTCTGTAAGACTGAGGCAGACTGAATCTGTAGCCTGGAGTCTTTGTCCATTCTGATATCTGCAGTCCTGACATCTGCAAGGAGATAGCTTCCAAAAAAATCATGGAGGTAGGAGAGACCCAGGATATGTGATGTGTGACTGATGTTGGAGAAATTAATAATTCTGGTTCAGTTCACATTTATGTTTAGTGAATGTAACTGCATCTTACAAAGACAGACACATTTAATGGGGAAGTAAAAGTTTCAAGATGCAATTTTCTAGAGCTTCCAGAAAGCTGGCAGCCAAGGAAAAAATAGAAAACAAAATAAAGGCCTCTTTTGAGAGAGCAAAATCTGGTTTAGCTGGCTGACTTGTCAGTCAATGCAAACAGTGGCCAGCAATTAGCCTTTTGCCCAGTGAGTACAAAGGGATGTAGGAGAGAGCAATGTAAGTGTTTTGTGGCAAGAGCAGTCACCAAAAAAAATGGCAAAACAGCTGGGAACATGAGAGTGGCAGCTACCTGACAAAAGTGTTGGAGTAAATATGCTGTGTCTGTGCTGCTGCTCAGCATGTGGCTTGCCTTGTCTAAATCTAGGGGAAGGAGGGGTGCCCATGTGAAGGATCATCGATGTGAAAGAGTGCATTGCATGCAAGGGTCTGAAGCTGTATTCTTCTTCAGGAGGGAAGTCACACCAGGGAATAGGATCTTACTTCTGCTTAAAAACAGGCACATGCAAATCCAGGAGGCTAAATCTTAATTGTTAATCATGAGAAATCAGCATCTTGCAGTCACGGAAAACTTTGTTCGGAATGGTTGTATCTATCCAGCATTTACTTGCTGATTGATTCCAGTCCATTAATTGCAGTGACCTTAGTCAAATTTCGTTGCTCATGTTGCTACATTTTCCTTAAAGTGAATTTAAACCATAATGTTTATTTTGTTAGTGAAATTCTAGACACTAGAGTGTCTATTTCCAGTGCCAGTCCCCGAATTTGTCTGATAGTATGGCTATAGCTGCACAAGTGTTTGCCAGTTTGAAAGCTACGGTAATTAATCTTCAATAAAAACTGATTGAAACTGGCCAAATTATTTCTTAATGTTTCTAGTTATTAGTTTTGTCACAGAGATGGCAAGGTACAGAAGTTACAGAAGCACTGGAGTCATTGCTCTGCATAGGAAGAAAGATATGCCCCATGTTTGTAAGTAGAAGAAAAGCTGTGCATGGAAGATATTCCATACTAACTACTACTCTAGATATCCTATTTTTGGGGGTGCATATGCTTTTGACTAAATCAAGACCAATTTTTGAACTTGCACCAAAACTATGTAAAACTTCTTCTTCCTGTTGATTATGAAGTCTTTGGAGTGCATTCTAAAGCAGACAAGCAAAAACAGAAGCCACCAAACTAGAATCATAGAGAAGTGTGCATGCTCATGAGAATAAAAGCATTTATAATTTTGGCACAGACCTTGCTAGAAGACTAAGGACTGTCGTTCATGAATGTTGTATTCTCATATTTTTGTTGAAATCAAGATACCAAGCTTGGGATGAACCAGCTACAGAAGTCAAAGGTACAAGGCTCTTACAGTTTAACCTGTGTAGAATATAGAAATATTGGCAATTTTGTTGACATGACTACTTTCACTTTTTTGTCACCTTAATAAAAAAGGTGTCATAACATACACTGTTGAGTTTGCACCTCTGTGGGAGCTGAAACTAAGGAAAGCATTTTCTTTTTTAAAGTGAATGTCTGAACAATGGTAGTTAATGTAAAACTCTTCCTCCATACTTCTTCATGGAAACCGGTTTATTACCTGGCTCACACTCGCCTGTGAGGAGAACAGGAGTGAGGAAACTTCTGATCTAAAACGGAGGATAATGAAGGAGGTGAATGTTATGTCACCATTTGCTGCCTGCTCTGGTTCTTTTCTTCAGCTCAGTAGATTAGTAAGCATTGGAAGAAGTGCAGGTTATATGAAGGACAGGCAGTTCTTGAAGAGCTGGATGATGCTGGAAAAAAAAGGAAGATCAAATCAGTGGTGTAACAAATTGGAGTGTAGCAATTCTTTATAAAGATTCCTAAAGATTCTTTATAAAATTCAAAGCAACTGTAAGACATTTTCATCTGGTAGTGACTGCAAAAAATGGACTACCTATGACCTACTGATGGTTTTCTGCAAGATGGCATCAAAGCAAAATTCTATGAGGAGGTGAAACTGATTAAACAGAAAGGAAAATGCAGATGAACAAAGAATGATGCTGAAGTCTTTCTTTCCCTTTTCTTCTGCCACTCTCCCCAAAACACATATTTAAAATGGACTGACTAGCTATTACCCTGAGTTGCCATCTCCTTCATGAAATCATAACTTGGGATTTCTATTAGCTGATAACTTTCTAGTAAACAATATTCATCAGACCTTGTCCAGAAATGCCTATGCTCTTTGGGGGTCCATGGCTCTTTGGGGGATACTCTTTGGGCTGTGGCCTCTCTAATGGGACCTCTTTGATGTCATGTAGTTCCATCAGATCTTCATCTGGGATCAGCTAGACTTACATTCGCGTCTCAAGATATTGTCCTTAAAGGATCTCTGTTTTATACTTCCTGATGACCATCCACCTTGTGGTTAGAAGTGTGATTTAAAAAATCAGTGATAAGGTAGCTAATATACTCTGTCATTTTGAACCATCTTTTAAGTTTTGATAAATCCAGCAAGAGTTAGCTTCAAATCAATAATATCACTTCAGTTAGGTGTTGGTAATTCTATCACTGGAGAAGAGAAAGAGGATGGAAGAAGCTGCATTTTTCAAAGCAGTTGTTGCAAAATTACTTCTGTTTCCTTGAATTTCCAGATTTTATCACTTGGAATCTATCAGATGTTTGACTTTTTGGTAGTTTTTGAACAGAACAATTAATAAAAGACGTTCATACCTTTTTGTTAAATATTAGCAAACTCACTTTCGAAAGTGTAACACAAACACCAAACAGGAGGCTTAACCAATCCTCCTTAGCTGATGTTTCTTTGGCAGCAGTGAGAACTTAAATAGCTAGTTATTTCTCCCTGATTATTCATTTTCTTCAGTTTTTGATACAACAGGTTGCGTTCTAGTGTATTCAGCCTCTTAATGCATATACTTAAAAATGAATCTTACTCTATCTTTTCAGCTGGAAGAAAGAAGTGCTGTTAATTGAAAATGGTTGTGTGGGCTCTCTTGACAATCAGGAGAGACAGCACCTCCAGATGGTGACTCATGCTTTTACTGAATATGGGCTGCATTCAGAGGCCTCCTCAGGACTCTGAAAATGCTCCAGCTGTGTCTGTAAGGCTAAGCTGTGCAGAGCAGAGTAAAAGCTTAATCTTTTTTTCCCTAGTGGTGTATAGTTTGCTTGTGAGCATACAGCTGTGGCTTTGTGAGGCACCCACTGATGCTGCCCTAACCAGTGTTCAGGCTTTGTGCGGGGTGGACGATGCTGCTCCTTGGTTGCAGAACAGGTCCTAGATAATAGCCCATGGCAGGGTTGGCTTTTCCTGCTTCACAGTTAAGGGTGTTGGGCCTCTTGATGGCAGTTCATCCCTCTGGAGACTTGTCTGCTGCTTGCCCTGGAACACTTTAGACCCCTGGCAATTTTCAGAAGAGCTTATTAAACCGACATTTTAAAATCATCTGAGTAGTCCCTGCTGCTATTGAGTTAGTCAGTTTTCTTTTGGGCTGAGTGATTATCCTGTTTGGATCTCTCTAAAGCAAATGAGTATTTGGCACTCAGACTACATGGAATTTACTCTGTTATTTGGGTCCTTTACCTTCCATGTTAAATCTTTTATTGTTTTAGACTGCATTTAACTACTGTGAACGAGTCCAACGTTCATATAAAAAAGCAACACCACAAGTAATTTTTCTCTGAGTTTATGAATAAGCTGGTGTTCAATGAAACACTGAAGTACCTTTTTAATAGTTCCTGTTGATTTCTAATTGTATATTCAATGAATTGTTTTGCTCAGATGGGGCATATAGCAAAGGCGAGTTGCATTATTTTGTGCTTATTGGAGGGAGCAATTACAGATACATAACATATATTAAGTTGAATTCTTACCAAGAAGTTAAGGAATCTACATATTCTGCAAGAAGCTTTTTTGTGGTAATAAAGGAAACATTTTCACTGAAAATAGATGCACAGCAGAAAATAGATTTTGATTAGAACAGCATAATCTGTAATACTGAGACCTATGTGCAAGTCCCTGCTTGGATGTCTTCAACCAGGATCTCAGTGTGCTGGAGAGTGCCATAATAGCAACTTCTTTTACTTCTCCGCATGTAATAATTTTCATAGGAAATGCTTGAATGCTTTTTTGTAATCCCTACATGTGCTGAAAATAAGCATTCCTTTTCTTCAGGAGCACAAGTTTTCTTTTTGGGTACCCATAGCTTTTGGTATGCAGAGGAGAGCTGACAGAAGATGACTGGTTTTCAGGAGAACACTGTTTCAGAGTAGTCTGGCAGGGCTTCTGCAAACATGCGAGTTGATTGCTGCCTCCTGAGCTGTAGAGTTTCAGCAGATGATACAGAGTGTGCTGCACTGCCAATTGTGTAAAGTGTTCGACACTGTCCCACATGACATCCTTGTCTCTAAATTTGAGAGACATCAATTTGATGAATGGACCACTTGGTGGATAAAGAACTGCCTAATGGCCGCACACAAAGAGTTGTGGTCAATGGCTCAATGTCCAGCTGGAGACCAGTAATGAGTGGTGTCCCTCTGGGATCCGTGTTGGGACCGGTCTTGTTCAACATCTTCGTTGCTGACATGGACAGTGGGATTGAGTGCACCCTCAACAAGTTTGCCGATGACACCAAGCTGTGTGGTTTGGTTGATATGCTGGAGGGAAGGAATGCCATCCAGAGGGACCTTGACACGCTTGTGAGGTGGCCTGATGCCAACCTCATGAAATTCAACCAAGCCAAGTGCAAGGTCCTACACCTGGGTCGGAGCAATCCCAGGCACAGCTACAGGGTGGGCAAAGAAGAGATTCAGAGCAGTCCTGCAGAGAAGGACCTGGGGGTGCTGGTCGATGAGAAAATGAACATGAGCCAGCTTCAGTGTGCGCTTGCAGCCCAGAAAGCCAACTGTATCCTGGGCTGCATCAAAAGGAGCGTGACCAGCAGGTTGAAGTAGGTGATCCTGCCCCTCTACTCTGCTCTCCTGACACCTCACTTGGAGTATTGTGTGCAGTTCTGGTGTCCTCAACATAAAAAGGACATGGATCTGTTGGAACAAGTCCAGAGGAGGCCACGAGAATGATCAGGGGACTGGAGCACCTCCCATATGAACATAGGCTGAGAAAGTTGGGGCTGTTCAGCCTGGAGAAGAGAAGGCTGAGTGGAGACCTCATAGCAGCCTTCCAGTATCTGAACAGGGCATATAGGGATGCTGGGGATGGACTCTTCATTAGGGACTGTAGTGATAGGACAAGGGGTAATGGGTTAAAACTTAAACAGGGGAAGTTTAGATTAGATATAAGGAGGAAATTCTTTCCTGTTAGGGTAGTGAGGCACTGGAATAAGTTGCCCAAGGAGGTTGTGAATGCTCCATCCCTGGCAGTGTTCAAGGCCAGGTTGGACGAGGCCTTGGGTGATATGGTTTAGAGCGAGGTGTCCCTGCCCATGGCAGGGGGATTGGAACTTGATGATTTTAAGGTCCTTTCCAACCCTAACCATTCTATGAGTCTATGATTCTATGATTTTAGCTGCAGCTCTGCCTGGTTGAAGTCTCTCATGTGCTGGCATTTCTTAGTTGTGCAAGGGCTCTTCAAGAATGGACTTTGATGCTGAAGATCACGTATTAAAGAATTTTAAAGGACTGGACTTTGAATGTATTAAAAACTGAAATGAGCATTGAAATGACTGGAAATAAGTCCTTTAGTGTATCAGTTGGTCATGCTGCATATCTGTTATAAAATAGACCTGTCCATAGCTGAAAGCCATTTTATCTGAGTATAAGGACTGTATATACAAGGAGGTCACTGAAAGGTGAATGCCTCATGCTGCACAGGGCAAGGACTTCCAGAAAACACTGTGGTTTTATTTATACCAAAAATGAAATCCCCATTGAAGCAATAATGGGATAGGTTAGCAGTGAGTGCTCTTGAAACTCTTGCCCCATAAGCATTTACAAGAATTGTTCTATGCAGAGGCAGAAACAGTAGGTTATTTTTCTTTTGTTTGTGCTTGTTACCTTGCACTGAAAATGGAATGAACTGTCAATTAGAACTCTTATGTACCCTTTTTAGAGGTCTCTGTAGACTATCTAAATAATATATAGGCACACAGTTATATAAATATAAACAAAATAGCGGATACCACGAAGTTTATTGCTCAAACACTGATTAGTATCTTGTAGAATTACTTTAAAATCATTTAGTGAAAAAAAAATTACACACATTTTACATGTGAAAAAAGATCCCATTTTTATTCTCCTAAAACACAGTAATTCAACAAACTCTATGTTAGTGATATGTGTTTCCCCTGTTTTTTTTTAAGTTATTCTGCCCTTCTAGATTTGTATTCAAGTCCATATGTCTGCAAAGCTTCCAGTTTTAGACTACTCTGTGTGGTGTCTTTAGATATAAAGATTAAATGTTATACTCCAAATGTGGTCAAAAAAAGAAAGATAGACTTTGGTCAGAGGTTCATATCTTTTGAAGTCTTACTGTTTATGTACTACCGTTTAGTTGTGGTTTCTAAGAACTAGATAAAGATCAGAAAGGAGAAAAATATGCAAGATGACAGTCTTTGGCATAAACATAAAGTGGTGCAAGCATGCATTTAGATGCTTGGCTAAATTGGGACCTAAAGTTAGTAACAGATGTTAGGTCTTTATTCTTTTGCTTCTCCTTCCCTTGGTTCTTGTTGTCCTGGGGTGAAATCTGCTGTGTTTACAAGCTTAAAATCAACTCTGCATTACAGTGAACTTTCCTCTGGGCTCTAAACCTAAAAGCATAACAGAGAGGCATAAAACACTTCAGGTTCGGTGCAAGCAAGCTTGTAGGCAGTATTTCACATCTTGCTAGTACTAATGACTGTATTAACTCGTAATTAAAATTCAGGTTTCTTATTTCAGCGCTTACCTCAGAATGTTTGAAATGTTTCTTCCTGTGGTGATTTCTCTGACAGCTGGATGGAGACCAAATTTAGCCTAGACTTTTTGAGAGTTAGTTAATTTGTGCTTGGGAGGTAAAGTGAAAAAAAGTCCCAAACCAGTTATAAAATTTAAAGGTTTATCTGGTTTGCACACTGAAAACAACGAATGAACAAACCCGTTTATCTGACTGGATTTATGCTTCTGTGTTAAAATCCACACACATTGTTAGTAAGTACCATAAGGACGTTGCCTTCAGATGACACACAGACTGTAGGAAAGTGAAAAGCCATGTATTCATTAGGTTTCCTTCTCTCTGCCCTGCCCTTCAATTTATAAGCCAAACTCTCTGCTCTTTTACCATACTGACTCCCGTTAAATCAATAGAATTGCCTAGATTCTAACCAGCTGTCTGCTCTCAAACCTGAGGGAAGTCATCCAATGAAAATTTTGAATGAAGATACTTAAAAGCAACGCTCAATTTTTCTACCTGTTCTGTAAGCTACTGATTTATTTTTTTTTCCCTGCAAGTGTAGATCATGAGTTGTTTATGCTATTCGTTGTTTTTGTAAGGCAGATATCCTACTGCATTTCAAACATCTGCTGCACTAGGGTGTCACAGTCTGAAATCAAATAATGATCTAAGTTGTGTCCTTATTTCAGTAAGTTGCATAGAAGTGATCCATGTGCTGCTCTATCTGTCAAATATATTGTATGAGCCAAGTGAAAATGAAAAAGGGATTTTTCTATGGTGTGCAGCCTCACAATTGACTGGCTGTATCTGGGAATTAGATATTTTAAGTAATTTATTGTCCATGATGGATGTAATGCCTGCTAGTACTTCCATTCATTGTCAAATAATTTTGTTAGACTTTATTGATGTAATGACATGATCTTTCCCCCTGCCACTTGACCGCATTTTTTCTTTTCTGATAGTTTTTGCAAGGAAGAAATCTTTCCTTATTATCTTTTTTTTCTTTCCTTTTTGATGACAATTTATATCTAAGGCTTGATTCTATTCTAAGATGCTGGTTGTCTTAAAAATGTTGGTCTTACTTTTTTTTTCTTGTGTTGTGCACAATATTTTCTTTTCATAACACTATGTATGATGATCAACAATGAAGTCAGTGCACACAAATTATCTTCCTCTTAACCATCAAAAGTCCAAAAAGTCTTCTGGCTTTCATAAAACCCAGGCTGGCTCTAAGTGTCTTTGGGTTTCAGCCTAAGTTGCACGCAATACCAACCTTGGCTCTGCAAAATCTTAGTGCACTTATAGTAAATCTAGTTGTCCTTTTGGTTTTGGTACATGTACTTTTTCAATTGACCTTGCTATTTTTCATCTTTTCTTTTGTTCGTACGTCATGAAAATCTCTCAGATTCTCATCCAACACCTAAATCGCTATATGCAGTGTACAGCAATTGCTGAAGAGTTTACTAGTAGTCTACATTTTAAATTAAGGGGGGTTTAATCCTTTTATGGAGGGTGAACTGTTTGAGTGAGGAAACAAGGCATTAAAAAACACTGACTGGATACTGCTGAATACCTGTGCTGGCAGTGGAGGACAAACCCTGTCTCCTGAACCTCTTGGGGCTTTGGGAGATAGTACGGGTTGCTGCGTGGTCTCTTGCTTGTGCTGAGCAGTAGGTTTAGGTTGGCATACGGGTTCAAGGTCCTGGAGCTCCTGGATGCTCTCAATACAGCCAGGCAAGAGGAGAGCCAGGAGGCAATGAAAGGTGATATGAGCCCTGGGATGAAATGTGCAGCATGGTCCTAGCCTTTGCTTGGTGGGGGCTCAGCAAGAGCCACTGCCATCTGCTTCCTGCTGTGAGTTCCCTCCCTGGGATATGGCATGGGGTGCCTAGACCCTGCTGGGAAGAACAGTTTTGAGTCTGAGAAGCAGTCTCCCAGCTGGAAACTCATGAAGCATGGGTATGTCATCCCCTGCCCTACTTTTCATGTTCCTCAGAAGCTCATCAGCACTTAGGTGCCGGGAGCTCCCCTTGGGTGAGTGGCTCCGCACTGCAGTCTCCTAGTGCCACAGTGGAGCCGAGACATCTGCTGAGGGATGAGCCAGCAGGTGTCTATACCCTCTTGAAATCTGAAGAATCTTCAAGTGCGACAGCTATAACAATCAAATATCTGATTGTAGCTCTTTTTCCTTTGCTGTGGGAGGGAAGACAGTGCAAAGTGTTTTCATGCCATACATCAGTCACTTATGGGTCAAGAGCAAGAAGTCTGAATGTGCAAACAATTCACTCTAAATTCTGATTTTTCACCTGAAGCATAGGATAGAAATGTCTCCTATTTCTATTTGCAAAACTAGATTTTTTTGTGTGTGTGGTTTTTTGTTTTGTTTTTGTTTTTGTTTTTTTTAGATGTATTTAAGGACAGTTGTGAGTATTTAAGTTAGCAACTGAAATCTTGTAGAGCCATTTTCATCTTCTC